TTAGCAAGAGGAAGCCCGCTCATAATTAATGAAAAGAGACGAGATGGGCCGAGCATACCACAAGGGCAAAAGAAAACACATCAGAAGCCTGATTCAGACGAGATCGCGCCCAGCTCTCGGCGCTGCGCCAGATAGCATTGCCGCAGAGAGGCCCTCGGAGCCATTTGCCTGGTGGGACGATGACTGTGTCCTCCAAGTCGGAAATTTGGACTTCTTTGATTAGTGTGGTCTCTTGATCCTCAACAGCAGGTTCCGTGTAATCGATAAGGATATTGTTGGGTTTGATGTCTGTTGAAAGTTAGCCACTTGATCTTCATACTTAGATATACATGCACTACTTCCCATTGTGAACCATATCCTTGGCGTGCATCTCAACCAGCCCCTGCAGTGCGCTGCGTAGAATGCTCTTCCTTGTTTCTTTTGATAAATTACGCTGACTAAAGCGAAGCAAGTCTCCATCTAAGAAGGGATAGAAGAACACTTCAGTCTCTCGCACAGAATCCACAGCTGTGCGGATGTTGGGACAGAGGGATAGCTGCTTTTGTAGGTTGACCTGATGCTGAAAGTCGCCTGGGATTGTATTTTCCATGATGTATTGCTTTCCTTGAGCGCTTGGGGAAGGTTAGTAGCCAATGATCCGAGCTCCATGTCAACGCGTAAAAGCGACATACCTCGCTCGGTATACATGCAAACCGCTCTCACCCCCGTGAGTGAGAAGCTCCTCAATACGGTAGGGCTGTTCCAAGTCACTCTTAACACTCGTACCTTGGGTTAGTGGTATCTGGCGTGACTTTGTAAGGGTGGACATCATGTCTCGATGCGTAGGTCCATATTGAAGACAAGATTTACGGGTCACAGAACAAGATGGTCTGGAGAGAAAAGACCAGCGCATTGGAAGAAGATGTCGGATGCTAGCATGAACGCCTGAACTGATCATCTTTTTATGGGTGATATAACTTGGTCTGGGCCCAGAATAGCGAGTGATCCCGATTCACGAGTCACTCCACGCCTCGGCGGCTACCTGAGTCAGCCAAAGGGGGTCGATGCGGATGGTGATGTTTCACCAACGACCCATTATCCTATTGAAGTGCAAAGAGGTTTGGGTCATGTCTGGACGAGAGATTGTTTTCAGCCGAAGGAAGGTGCTGTTGTGGATTTTTTGTATTTACAAGTATCAGGATCATGGCAGTTGTATAAGTTTCTAGCAGTTTCCGTATTCAGCTACTAGTAGCAGCTATAAACTTGTTTTATGAGGACGATATACTATAGCACTTGGTCCCAAACAGTGTGAGAACACTGCTGGCATGCCCGCTGAGTAGTGTGTACAAGAGATAGTAACTTGATCTTGGTTCAGGTAATGGGTATAAGTAATGTCATCGTACATCATGGCTAGCCCATGATCTGCAACTGGTCATCCGGGGGCCAACGCGTCTGCGCAAAGCTGAGGCACCGCTTGATGCTCTGCAAGTACTTGCGCGTAATCTCGTCACTCAGAATATGCGCCTGCTGATCGCTCTGATGCAGCTTCTCTCGTGCGGAACGTTCGTGAATACCAACCATGGTCACACCAATAGGCCAAGCACTGCAAAACATTAGCCAGGAACAAAGCCTCAGAACAGAAAGAAGATACGTACGCTTTTCCAATACTCAACCGAAGGTAGGCATCATTAGCATCGACATACCGCCGTTGCTGCGCCTTGGACACAATCTCAACCACATGGTCGAGCACTCCATCATCAATATCAACCTTCTCGAACTTGCGAAACAACGGCTTCATGTTCTCCCGCGACTGCACCATCGCATTATACGCCTGTTTTCCCTGCAAGCTCAACTTCACCGACGCATCTCGCTTCGCCAACGCCAACTCCCACTCCCGCAACACCATATTAAAGTACGACGCCAGCTGGCGAAACAAGAACTTCTTCCCCTCCAGATCCTTCGGCGCCGTCTCCGGAATCTTCATGTCCACCTCCGGCACCAGCTCCAGCGTTGTCGGGATCGGCCCATCCGACAACTGCGGCTGCGGCGTCAACGACCGCTGCAACAGCCTCCTGTACCGCCTCAGCCGGCCCTTATGCGTCTCCCCAAACAATATCGCCGGCTCCTCCATCTCCCGTAACTTCTTCAACAGCTCCTCCTCCGGTATATCCTCCTCGCCGCCTTCCTTACCCTCACCCTCTTTATCATCTCCAGACTCTGTAGGCGGCAGTTCCGGCAAGCCGAGTCTCTTCCTGCGCTCTCGTTCGCGAGCAGCTTCCTCCTCTTCGCGCTTCTTGCGCGACTCCTCGGCCAGTTTGCGCTTCTTCTCTTCCCGCTCGCGACGGCGGTCGGCTTCTTCGTCTTCGAGCTTGCGTTTCTGGGCGTTACGCTCTTCGCGTTCGCGGGCTAGGCGCTCTTGTTCTTCATTGTAGGCTGCGATGCGGGCGGCTTCGAGATCGCCGCGCCGGGTGTATTTGGGCTTGGAGGAATCTTGGGAGTCTGCTTTGGGTTTTGCTTTGGAAATCTCTTTGGACATCAACGATGCGAAGTCCATGTTGGCGTAGTAGTTATGATTGCAATGGAGGTATAGTGGTGGTTGTGGCGATTAGATAGATAGAGTTGATTTAAATTGGAGGTAGATAGAGAGAAGAGACCCGTGTTCGGCAAACTTGCCGCGGCGGAACTTCCGCCGTCAAGATCCAGCAGACACACCCGCCTGGATAGCTTGTTTGCAAGCTTCATCCTTCACTCCACTACTTTTACCTTACCTCATTCTCTCTTTCAATGCAATAACCTACACATCCAATCTACCTATACTGCACTACGAGCACGTCGCACTCTACTATACCTCAACCACCCATCAACAATAACAAAAGGTCAGAAACAAAGGAAGGAATCAAAATGACACCACCACCAATCGACCGCCAAACCACCACCCCCTTCCACCTAAAGCTCTTCTACCGACTCAACAATTACCACCACCTCTCCGACTTCTCCTCCACCTCCTCCGCCTCCTCATCTTACAGCGGTCCCACGAGCGGGCCCAACGCCATCCGCACGCGCAGTCCACCACCACCGCAACAACTCCCCCCACACCTTCAAATCTACACCTGGCAATCCTGCACTCTCCGCGAACTCTCCCACCTCCTGACCTCCGCGCTACCTAGTCTTCTTCCTGACCCACCGGTGGGTACGCGCCTCTGCTTCCGCCTCATATACCCGGACACCAAAGGCGCCGCGACAATGGGGCCCGACGCGAGAGGCAGATATTTAGCGAAAGATTTGGGGAGTGTGATTGTCGGTCCGAGGGAGAGTGCGATTGCGAACGGTGGGGATGAGGATGAGAACGCGAATGGAGAGGAGGGAGGGCAACGGAAGGGTAGTTTTGGTGGAGGGAGATTGAGGATCCAAGGCAATGATGCGGACAAGACGTTGCAGGAGGCGCGATTCGTCATTGGGGATTATGTCGATTGTGCAGTTTTGCCGCCGCTTGAGGACGGGTCTGTTGCGCCGCCGGTCAATCCGGGACGGGGGATGGCCATGGGTGGGGGGATGAGGGCGTTCCCTGGGGATGCTGGCAGGGGGGAGAGGTATCGTGGAGGTGGAGGTGGGGTGAGAGGTGGGAGGATTCCACCGGGGGATTGGAGACGAGGGGAGAGGATTCCGGAAGAGAGGGGAGGTGGTGGAGGAGGAAGAGGAGGGAGAAGGGGGTGGGCGCCGTATTGAACTAATTAATTGATTGATTCTGATGCTGTATGTGTATGTATGAGTGTTAGGAGTTGAGGATACCCGGTTAGCTACAGGGATGTCTTGTCTAGTATCTACTAGTAATGTCTGTCTTTATTGGCTGTCCTTCGTAGGCACTGCAAACGGTGTAGTAAACGAAATCTTCAATAACGGTATAATAGTAGTAGATACACATCCAGCCCGTCCCATCACATCACATCACGCTTTTCTTCCTCCCATCACCATCATGCTTGAGAGAATCGAATCGATCTACCACTCGACAATCGTATCGCCCCTGCGCTTTCCACGCAGCTGGTACAGACCCTACACATACCCATTAGCCACACTCCTATCATCCACCGGATCCCAATCAAAACCCAGATCACTCACATCAGTCTTATAAGCGACATAGCCCAGCGCACCGGGAATCAAAGCCATGTAGAGGAACGAGAACCAGGCATGGCGCGGCGTCCACCGGAAGTACTTGTAGCGGTTGGCGTTGAGTTCTGCAAGATACCACTTCGTCAGTCATTTATCATCCCTCATCCATCCGAACTCCTTCATAAGTAGCAATTGCTATCGCTGGAGGAGCACTGTAATGCGTCGAGTCTTATTGGCGGGAACAAACGGACCGTAGTATTTCTGGAGGGCCGGATCAAGGATCAAAGCTGCAGATAGCGGTTAGCAATTGGCATTGAGAAGATTTAGAGGCGAAGGACATACACTTGCTGGGACCGGCCATGGTTGCGGTTTGGGGGGGCGCTGGTTATTGCTGGCGAGCTGGGGGTATGCGTATTGGTTGGTGGTGGTGATGATGTTGAAGTCTGGTCATGTGATTTATAGCATAATTAGTAATATGTATTATATGGATGTGTTATGCAGTTATGCATATATGCAGGTGAGTGGGTATACCGATCAGAGATAATGCGATTACTATATGAATATCGTTATTGATGGGTATTATGGATACAATTTACATAGTTAGCTACTATCACATACGTGAGTACACCATCTATACATCTGAAAGTTGAATAGATCCCTCGACCTCCGTACTCCGTCGTGGTATCTACAGTATGATCGCAAAAATGGGCGCCCCACCCATGGCGTCAGTCTTCACAAGAACATCCGAGGTTGCGCATGATAGTCTAATTAGTTTGTGATGAGAACCTAATCACATTCAGTCTAATCTAGACCTACCACCTAGGCTATTTACATATAAGATAACATACACACCTTCATCTTCCTATTCACTACACCACCACACCACCTATCGAACAGTTCTCCAAGCACCCAATATGACCGACCCCAACAAAGGCACCAAAATCACCCTCTACTGGTACCAATACCCCCTCCCATCCCATTTCCCCCTAAACACCTATACTAAAAAAATGTGAATAAAACAGGCTCTCCCAATCCCGCTCTCACCGCATCCTCTGGCTCCTCGAAGCCCTGCACCTCAACTACGAGCTAAAGATCTACCACCGCGGACCCGACAAGCTCGCGCCCCCGGAACTGAAAGAGATCCATCCGTTAGGAAAGTCGCCTCTCCTGACTATCCAGCCCGCGAATGCCACTCCAGACCAGAAGCCCATTGTGCTGGCTGAATCGGGTATTATCATCGAGTACCTGCTCGATCACTTCGGCTCCAATGCAGAGAAACCTCTCCTCCCGCCCCGGTGGAAAGATACCCAAGATGGTGTAGTTGGCGGAGAAACAGAGGAATGGATGCGCTATCGGTACTTCATGCACTATGCTGAGGGCAGTCTCATGCCGTTTTTGGTCATGCAGTTGGTTATGGATAGTATGTTTCCCATGACCCATACCAGATCTATGTAATGTGTGTGTGTGTGTGCTAATGATGATGACAGCGGTGAAAAACCCCCCTGGAATGCCCTTCTTCGTCAAGCCTCTCCCGCGCCTCGTCGCGGGCCAGGTCGAGAAGGCGTTCCTGGCGCGAAACATCCAGTCGCACTTGGAGTTCCTGGAAGATCAGCTGCGGAGTAGTCCTAATGGGGGTGCCTATCTCTGCGGGACGGAGTTGACGGCCGCGGACATTATGATGAGTTTCCCGGTGATTGCTATGTCCGGGAGGTTGGAGGAGCAGTTGGACAAGTTTCCGCTGCTGAAGGGGTATGCGGATAGATTGGAGAAGGAGGAGGGATATATTAGGGCTGTGAAGAAGGTGGAGGAGGTGGATGGGAAGTTTGAGGCTTCCCTGTGATTTCTCACCTTTTCTATTTGTGAGAGTTTGATGTGATTGGGATCGGGGGTAATGTTATATATGATAATGGTACTAGTGTAGTAACTAATTATGCAATCTATCTATCTGTATTAATTATAACATTGGTATATGTGTATTACATCCGTCCAATAGCTTCACACTCCACCCCCAACCTCTCCAGCTCCGCCCCATCTAAACTTCCCCGTCCATCATACACCCACTTCGGATCCTTCAGGTTGTACGCGATGCGCGCCCACTCCAATGGCTCGTTAGCCACAGCCACAGACCGCGGCGCCCAGCTCCGACACGCCGCGCAGTCATTCCCACACCCTTCCTCCGGCGTCAATCTATACGTAACTCCCTGAAACGCCCACGTCTCATCCTTGCGCGCCGGGGAAAGCATCTCATCCAGACTCTCATACGCCTCCGAGTCCGAGCGAGCAGAACCCCCAAGCCCCGCTCCACTGCGCTTCCGTCCATTCTTGAACTGATCGCAATCCGTCATGACCAAAACCGCATTAGCCTGTGAACACGCCAAATACGGATCCGACAGGACCTTAACCCTAGCAGCCACAGTCTCCTTCCCACAGGCAGCTTCCAGTTCACGCAGGATATCCTCCTCATGACAGAACAAATCAAAAATATCAATCTCAGCTGGCCTCTCCTCAAGCAACACCCTGATGACGTCAACAACAGGCGACTCGCGCGTATCCCCCGTATCCTTTTTAAACGCGAACCCCAGCACAGCAATCTTCCTCCCGGACAGATTCCCATCGAAACGGTCGATGACTCTCCTTGCGAACCGTACGCGCTGGTACTCGTTCATAGCGTTGACCTGGCGCCAGTAGTGCGCTACTTCGTCTAGCCCCAATGATTCAGCGAGATAGGTCAGACTGGCGATGTCTTTGCGGAAACAGGATCCGCCGAACCCTACTCCTGCTTTGAGGAACTGTGGACCGATGCGCGCGTCCATGCCGATGGCCCGCGCAACTTGGTCGACTTTGGCGCCGGTCTTTTCGCAGATCGCGCTGATAGAGTTGATGCTGCTGATGCGCTGGGCGAGCATAGCGTTGGCGACGAGTTTGGCCAGCTCTGATGACCAGGCGTTCACTTGGAGGATGCGCGTGGGTGGGACCCAGGAGGAGTAGAGGTGCGCGAGCATGCGGGCTGCGCGCCGGCCTGGGGCTGTTCCTGAGGAGCCGATTAGGACGCGGTCTGGGTTAACGAGGTTGTCGATGGCGGAGCCTTCGGAGAGGAATTCGGGGTTGGAGAGGACTTCGAAGGGGGTGTTAGGGCGGAGGGTGGAGAGCTGCTCTGTTAGTATCATTTCTGATCCTAGGGGAATTGAAGGATGCAGCTCACTGTTTGTCGCACTCGCTCGGCTGTACCACATGGCACGGTGCTCTTCTCGACAATGATAGCTCCCGGCTTTGCGTGTCGTGCAATATCTTGCACGGCGCCGTCGACGGCTGTCATGTCGGTGGCTCTGCCGGCGCCGAGGCCAAAGGTCTTGGTGGGAGTGTTGACGGCCAAGAAGATCATGTCTGCGTCTGCAATGGTCGTCGAGTCGCATGTGAAGAAGAGGTTGGGCTGTCGGCGTGAGTGTACGGAGCCTTCGTTACCAACACTCTGGGCCACGTCCGAGCCATCGCGCGTCGCCCGCACCACATTGTAGAGCGTAGGTTCATGCACAGGCAGATGCGCCGACTTCCAGCTCTGAATGCGACGAGGGTCTCGGTCTAGCACAGTCACTGCGACAGAGGGGTTGTACAGGGCGAGAACAGCCGCGGTTGGTCCGCCTGTAGAGCTGGCTTAGTTTGGCTCGTAAATGAGGGCAGTGCCAGCTGAAGCCTACCCACGTATCCTGCACCCACAACACAGACGCTCTTTACGCGATCGTCCGCCAGAATGCACGTTGAATTGGCGCTCGCGGCATCGTGGGCTCCCCGGGTGCCTGAGATTCCCGTGGGAGAGGTGCAATGCGACGAGGGCACATCGTCCACCTTTGCGGCGCGAAACAGCGGACTAGAGGCGGGGGTAGTGGGACAGGTTGAACTGTCATCTAGACTCCATTCAAGCGAGCTCCGTGGTGAAGAAGAGAGGTCCATTGTGTTGCTGCTGCTGCTTGTAGTCTTTCTTGTGTAACCGATGGCGACAGACCTCACTCACCAGTCACTCCAGGAATTGACGACTGGGAGAGACGACTGAGGGGCAAGACAAGACCAGGGAGGCGGGACCACAAGTAGTATAAGCATCTGCCCAGACATCTAGAGGCAAGAGACCGTCGGGCGACCGAGGGCGATAAGGTCTTGCGCGGAGGGCGCATGGCCGTTGCAGGGGAACGTGAGCAGCAGAGCATGAAGGCGAGAGCGGGAGTCGATACCACAGAGCTGCATGGGTTGATGCACGCGGGGAGCAGCACGGACTGCCACTGGATCAACCATTCGGGGGATGCAGGAGGCATTGAAGGCGTGAAGTTTGGCTGGTGATCCGCCCGAACGAGCGATTCTCTCCAGCCAGCCCACGTGCCCGCATCCAGCCCAGCGACACGGACGGATTTTTGCGCATCACCTGCAGCGAATTCTCGGTTTATGGTCGTGGTGATCAATTGTAGTAGTTGGTTCTGTCCTACTGAGTCTGGTTACTCCGCACACCGTATCGTCTATCCTTGTAGAACATAAGTACGTGCGTGCACTCCTGGTGATCGTAGTATATAGATAGATGAACAGTCCACCAATCAGTATAGTACTGGTTGAACAGTATCAGTATCAACCAACATGCCACCATTCATTCCCCCCTCGGAGGACTTCCCCAGCATCCTTAAAGGCAAACGAATTCTCCTCACCACTGAATCCCTTGGTCCAGTCAACGGCGTCAGTCGCACAACCGGCAAACTAATCGAGTATTTGCGTCGCAATGGCGTCGAATTGGCCGTCGTGGCACCACAATTCACCTCCTCACCATCACAACAACAAGACACAATAGACACCACAATCCGCCTCCCCGGCTACCCCCTCCCCTACAATCCGGATCTAACCCTCGTCTAACCCTACAACCTCACCACCACAATCTACCCCCAAACCTTCTCCCCCGACCTAATCTACATCGCCAGCCCAGCCAGTCTGGGCTTCCAACTCCTCCTACAACTCCGCCAACTACACTCTCCTCCACCAACGCTTCTAAACTACCAGACCGACCTGTCCTCCTACAGCTCAATCATCTTCCCCAAGCCCCTCTCCACCTTCGCCGTCTGGCTCCTCTCCCTTGTGGAAGGCTATCTCTTCCGCACTCCTTGCATCCACACAATCTTCTACCCGTGCAGTGATGTCCTAACCTACTTGAAATCCACCAATACTCCTATACGCAAAACCCATCGATTAGGGAGAGGAGTCGATACGTCTCTCTTTAATCCATCCCGCCGGTCTCAGTCCTTACGGGATACGTTAGCTCCAAACGGCGAAGCTATCCTGCTAACAGTTTGTCGGATCGCGCCTGAGAAGGGGTTTGAGTTCCTCGCTGAGGCTGTCACACACCTTCTCTCTAGTACTAAAATCCCCTTCAAGCTGGTAATAGTCGGCGGGAACGCCAACCCCGCCGTGACATCACGCATTCAGTCCCTCTTCCACCACATCTCCTCACACGTCATCTTCCTTGGCTTCAGAACCGGCGAAGAGTTAGCGAGCATCTACGCCTCAGCGGACATATTCCTGCACTGCTCTATCACAGAGACGTTCGGGCTGGTCGTGCTGGAGGCTATGGCGAGCGGGTTGCCAGTCATCGCAAGGGATCAAGGTGGTCCGTCGGATATTGTGAGGAATCAGGAGACGGGGTACTTGGTTTCGGTGGCGGAGGGGGAAGTGGGCGTGTTTAGTGGGCTTGTGGGGGAGATGTTGAGGGATGGGAGGTTGAGGGGGCGTTTGGGGAAAGGGGCGAGGTTGTTTGCGGAGGATATGACCTGGGAGAAGATTAATCGGAGGGTGGTGGGGAGGATGGCGGATGCGATTGTGGAGAGGGGAAATGGGGAAGGGGACGAGGAGAGGGCGTTGTTGGGTGGGAATAGAGGGGAGGTGTCGTTTGGAGAGAGGGTCAGGTTGGGGGTTGCTGTTGCGGTGGTGTATGTGATGTGGATGGTGGCTGTTGTGCCGTTGATTGTGCATGGGTCGAGAATTGTGCCCAGGATGGTGCGGAGGGTGCCGCTGTTGGGAAGGTGGGTTGGTCGGAGTACTTCTGCTGCCGCTGTTTATACGTAGTAGAGTGAAGGTGTGTTGGTAAGATGTGTATGTTTATGCAATATATTATATATTACATCTGTTAGCCCATGCAACTCTATATATACAACCTCGTCTGCTAGTGAGATCCCGCCAACTGGGTATAGCACAAGAATGCAAATGGAAAGTTAGAAATCAGCTAAACTTCCGCTTGATTTCCTCCTCGCTGAAACGACGCGTCTTGCGACGCAGCATCGCCGCAAGCTCCGCGTGCGTCATGCCGATCTGGTCGCCCATCGGCACGAGACACCGCGCCAGGTGGTCGTAGTCCTTGCGCATCAGTCGCACTGTGATCATGATGTAGTCGATGTTGCGGAACACGAGGGCATGCTCGGCCGCATACCGGTCCTTTTGCCGCAGGAAGGCCACAGGGTGGTCGCGCCAGTGGCGGCGCGGGTTCAGATGGTGCGAGGTGTGATAGCCGTCATTGTAGCAGAAGCGGTTGCTCTAATCATTGTGAGTACGTAGTCAGAACCGAAGAATAATTGGGCCATACCGCTACATCAATCAAGGTGATGCTGGAACGAAAGTCGCTGTTGGGATCCGTCTCGTCGACAAACGCATGCTGTCCCCAGTTCCCCACCATGAGACCCACGCGCAGCTGCAGGAACGGGAGAACAAAGACAAACAGCGTCGCTCTCCAGCTGACGTAGTTCCAAAGTAGATACATCATCAGATAGCTGCTGAGTTCCCAAAAGGCTGCTTTCAGGCCCAACAGAGTCTTTCCCTTGCGCAGGAAGTACGTGGGCAGCTCCAGCCAGATGAAGAGGTAAAAGCGGCCGACGTAGCAGGCGAAATCGGCGAGACTGTCACGCTGGTAGCGGATTGTTGAAGACAAATCATCCGGTCCGTTGCCTTCGACATGGTGATGCTTGACGTGATGGTAGAAGTAGGAGTTCCAGGTGTGGCCCATTAGCGGATCAGTGATGTAGGGGAACAGGGTGTCAAAGAGCCAGCAGTGACGCTTATTCAGGATGCCGCCCATGTGGATGTGTTGATGCATCATCAGGGTATAAGCGCCCACATAGTAGGACTGCATGATCCAGTGCAGCACGCCATGGACCCAGTGGAAGTTACGGAAGAGATAGATGGCACTAGGCACAGAGGTGGTAAAGTACAGCAAGAGATGCGTGAGCATGACCACGTCGGTGTCCACCCGGACGATGGACCGCGCGGCCTTGATATACGGTTGCAGCAGCCATGCATCCAGTAGCGGAGGCAGCTTGATGTCCTTCAGATCCCAGGTAAAGAAGATGGTAGGGACAAAGTCGGCATGCCGGGGGTCATTGAAGGCCTCCAGTTGGCTGACGGTCGCGTCGGCATCTGATGGGACGGGTGTTCCACCGGCTTTAGTGGCAGGAGAAAGTTAGCATGAAACCCGGAAGAGCAGTGGCAAGGAAGTTAGTTGACGGCGGGTGAGAATGTACATGATTTGGGCTTTTCCGGGGTGGATTGGCTATCGAGCAGCAGGTTATCGAGGACCAGTCGATCGGGCGGGGTCAGATAGGGATCGATAAAGGTGGAAGGGTCCATGGCCAGCAGAACAGGAATAATCTCCTGGAATTGGCGGGAAGCAAGGCACGTTTGGACAGCAAAGCAAATGGAGGTTCCGGCCCAAAAATTCCTTTTGGAGTGACAATCGAACAAGCTTTAACGGACCGCAGAAGAAAAAAGGGGGTGGGGCTGACAGCATCGGATGAGCTGAGACGATGGTAAGTATCTGCCTAGCATGTTATCCGACCCATCCCCGTGCTTTAAAAATCGGATCAGTCCATACGCACATACCCTGGCTTGTTCTTAGCTTAGCGTGTTGCTAATGAAGATTTAAAGCTGGTGGTGGTGGTGGATGTATCTCTGCCAGCTGTGCCTGGGGACAGCAACCATGGGTGGAGATGGTGGGCCGAGAGCATCCATGACGAGCACATTCATCCAGGGCAGCTCAGCTGCTTCCTCTCGTGATCGGGTCATGATGTCGACTCTTCCGCCCGTGAGGTGTGACGGAAGATGCGCATTCTGTCACATCTTAGTTGAGATCTCCAGGGTCTGGCGTCAGATTCGAGACCTTCTGATGGGGATGGAGATGCCCACTTAGCCGGCGGGGGCCGGAGTCGCTTTTCCAAGAACAGCAAGTGGAAGATTTTTCCCATTTAGCTCCAGATCAGCTCCAGTTAACCCCAGTCTGACTGCCCCGCGTCAATTCATTGGGGATAGGCAGGTCTATCCCAATGCTTCAATTCAACTGTGTAATTCGGTAGATACACGACGTAACTAGCAGGATTGCTGAGTGTATCTATCAACCCATTGAAGCTCTGTGATCCATCGCATAGGTATCCGCTAGTGGCCTGTCTATAATTAGCAGCAGCATCAATGTCCCGGACAATTCACGAACAGGCGTTGTCTTTGGTGTTTGAGTATGGGATGCCACGGCCAGATGAAGGAAGCTCATATGAGCTTCATTCTTGAAGACACGGAGAGGCAACGTACCAAGCTGCGGGCTACCGCTGCATACCAACCGAGCCCGTCGGGATCACCAGATGCGCTTGACTCGCCATTCACTGCATCCAGCCATCCTGGCAAGTAGCAAAACGGTATCACACCATGTAAACCCAAACAAACCCCAATAAACTCAATTGTCGATAAGATACGTCATTACCCCTCCCATGTGTAACCCAGCCTCAGT